ATAGATTTCTAAAAATAGATGGATGATAACATTCTAAAAACAGAACGATGATGTTATTCTAAATAAAGAATCCAATATGGCACCGCGCATGCGCAGTCGTGATGCCAAACCGCCCCCTATACTACTATTGTAGAGCATTCAAAACACCTTTAAAAAAGAAAGTAGATCTTATCCGCGTAGAAAATACACATTTTATGTTTTTCACGTAAATGTGATATCAACAGCTACAAAGAATATAAGAATCGTAAACTATAATTTACTTTTATTAAACAATATTTATTTCAATTTGCACAACATAAATAGATACAGTAAGTTTACACAAACAAATCTCGTGGGGTGGAAATCAAGTCAAGTGTTTCTTGTGTAAATTTCTTCCTACATATAAGGTACTTGCAATAGGAAGAATATGCACATACGCCAAATGAATAAATTTGTTAGAACATTGTTGCCTAGAGTAGAATAATAAGAAAATTCTGTTTCACGATTATTGTACATTGAGAGAATACTCCAAACAGTTTCTTTACAAAATAAAATATTCTTTTTAACTAGTATTTGATTTAAGTTAACTATTCATATAGTATTATATAAAATGTATCGAAGAAAAGAAGACAAAATATCTATATTAAGTTTAGAGTTAAGATAAAGAATAGGAAATATAAGTCTGCACACAATTTTATCGGGAAATGATCGGCAAAAATGTGGATATTTAGTTGGTAAAACGTTTGAAAGCTTGGATAAACTGTTGAACTTTAAGAATGTTATTATTCGTTCAGGTTAAAGCTGTGGCCCTTTTATCAGAACTGTATGGTGGACTAATCATTTTGTCAACATTTCATTTTTTTTTCATTATTACATTCGGAATGTTAATCATGCAAATTTGAAGACCTAAACTGTCAATATTAAATGAATGTATGACGACTGTTCATTATAACATCACAATATCATTTTGAAACTGACGTTTCCTTATCACAATATTCTAGGACTGTTAATCTTGCTCGCATTAATACTTTATGTCATTTATCATTGAATGATAATAACAACTGCAAGTTATGCAACCATTTAATTTACCATAAACATATTAACATAACGCATAATTTAGAAAAATAAAAATACTGGTTTGTGATAAGTATCAATATGCTTGCTGTACGGACAAAAATGTGTCTGCAAACTTGAATAAAATCACGGAAATATTAATTTTGAAAACAATTAGTCCAATTTGAATTGTAATTGTCATTACTCGTCGCTGACTTTTAGGCTTCAAATATTTATTTAAGCTAAATATTTTGGAAATAACAACAACAAACAAAAAAAATACGTATCTACAAAGCTTATTCAAAATTGAATTAATTTAAGTGTAAAGTGATCAGAAAGTTTTATGTTTTTTTTATGCACCACACTAATAAACTCTGCACATGTCAACGATTTTTCACCAACATTCAACCAACTTACAATAGATAATCTTTAGATTATATTTTTAAACCTGACTAACTTGAAAATCTGCTGGAAAAGGGTCTGCGATCTGTAATTTCCGCCACTCTTCCGGGTTATTAATACGTTATTAATAGGTTATCCCTAGCAATCGTGTACGTGTCATTATTTTCTCATATAGATGCGAAAATCGAAGCGTCTGTTCTATGAATTGTAATATTATAATAATAATAATCCAAAATAGCCTGTTTTGGAAGTTTTTGTTGTAAACGAAGCTATTTGGGGAAATAACAGTTTTCCTTTGGTAATTTATCAAGTGCTGTAAAATTAATACGAATTTCCTCTTATGCCGCCGATTATTGTAAAAACACAAATATATAAGTTTTTTTTAATTATATTTATTAAAATAAGATGAACGATATTGTGAACAATAATCACTTTGGCGCAAATATCGTTTTCGAATTAAAGTTTCGTAAACTCTGTTGATGAATTAAAGCCGTGATTTAAGTCGTGTCCGCTGAATTACTACAGTTATCTGTCTTTACCTCGATGCTTGACTGTAAGTCATTTGTATACATGCGTTTTATATTTTTTTTTATAGAAGATTATTATTTCTCTTCTATTTAACTGTATCCAAATGTTGAATTTTATAACATATGGACTATCAACTTATAAAGTGTCGCCCTGGAATTGAATAAACTTCAAAGTCTTCTAAATAGTCAATACGGGGCCATTCATTTGGTTAAAGACTGATGTTTGCGTCTTTCTCTGAAATAGTAATTTTCTTGTTCTGTTCTGGTAAGAAAACATATTTGACCATTGTAGACAAAAGGAACTGACTTTCTGTCATTAAAGTAATCGTTACTTCCGGCTTTTGTTGCTGTACCGAAGCACATGCTTTTATTTGTGTTTTCTAATCAATTCGAAATTATAATCAGTTTAATGAAATCACAACCAGGTAAACAACTACTTAGTACTTTGGGTCATGTTTGTTTCTGTCTAATATTTAAAAATTTCTACATTTGTAGTATGGAATAAAATAAGCTTAGTTAACTTGTAGCTATTTGGTAAACAACTGAATGTATAATTGCCATTAATTGCCATACATATTAATTGAAAAAAAAATGTTTGTTGACATTGATTGATAAATTATGTGGAACTAGACCTATCACTGAAGGTGATTAAAACCCCAACCAGCAACTTTGACTTTTTGAAAAATTAGTGGTCTGAAGAAAAAATTGAACTGAACCTATAGTTAAAGAAGAATCAACTTTGTACAAAGAATTATTTCAATTAAATGCAATCGCAGCCGGGGTCTTCATATAAGCTTTCTATACACCAAGTTTGATTCCTAACCGGAAACCAGTTTTCTATTTTTAGTTACGTCGACCTTGACATTGACCCTAGGGGTCCAAATGTAATACCAACCGGGGTTTTCATATAGGCTTGCTATACACCAAGTTTGATTACAAATCTCATTCCTAACTCTAGTCATTGTCCAAAAACCATTTTCTATTTTAAGTAACGGTGACCTTTACCTTGACACCAGGGGTTAAAATGCAATACCAACCTGGGCCTTCATATAACCTTGCTATACACCAAATTTGATTACACAATCTCATTCATAACTCAAGTTATTGTCCGGAAAACATATTTCATTTTTAGTAACAGTGACCTTGCCCTTGACCCAAGAGGGTCTAAATGCAATACTGACCGGGATCTCTACACAACGTTGATATATACTAAGTTTGATTACAATATCTCATTCTAAACTCTAATTATCGTCCGGAAACTATGATGTAGACCGATCGACGGCCTGACCGACCGACCGACCGACCGACAAGCTGACTCATATATACCCTCTTACTTCGTTTGAGTTGGTAAAATGAATAAGTTTATTATTTTCTCTAATTTAAATGTATTCTTGCGCTGACATTTTAATGGAGGTCAAATTCAAAGTTTTAGGTATTTAACAGGTTTTAGTAGTTAAATATTGATTTTTTTGTGCGACAAGGGTTCAAGAATATAATGTTTTCAAGCTATATGTTTATCACAATCAGTTAATTCTTAATTAAATGTATGCAATATATTTACTTACATCTATATGATATAGTGGTTTTGTGTGCGTTTTCCGCGTGTGTGTACTGATATGTTTGGAAAAAAAAAGTGTAGAGAGACATGATCTATGTCGCTGATGTAAGCGACAATTTACCAGTTTATCTGAGTAAATGTTGTTTTTAAATATTTTAAGGAATATTAATGGTTTTATCATAAGAAATGAACATGCAAGTGTGAAAATATTCATGATATTGAGGTTACGATTATTAAAATGACGAAGGAGTTAATGACCCGCCAAGCAAAAAAATGTGATAGACAAGATTAACAAGGAAAGCCGGCGTTCAATGAATGCAACACCACAAAACCCAGCAACAAGAACAAATGCCAAGAAGCAAAAGAAGACCCCCCCCCCAAAAAAAAAAAATAAAAAAAAAAAAATAAATAAATAAATAAACAAGGCATAGCAAAGTTCGTCGCTGCGTAGTCATTGGAAAATTGTTTTCAAAAAAAAAAATTACCGTATGTTGCCAAATAATTTAAACATTTATTCAGTACTTTACACTCATGTCTTTTGCCTTAAAGTTTACTTTTTCTGATATAAAAGTAGTAGTTAAAAGTATAAGTGTTAACATACCAGAAGTTTTTGTGACCGATGCATGGCCGATACCGCCGCAGTAAGCGTAAGTAGTAATTTTGAAATATAGAAAACCCTTTAAGTGTTTGTCAATAAGCCTCGATAAAAGGTCTTAACATTAGGGAGGCATAGTCATAGAAATTGATGTCTATCGCTTATTGAATAGGTCATCAAACCGTGTTAAGATTGATTGCTGGCGGCATTAACTTTGCGTGGTGAATCTTATTTAAAGAGTAGAATTATTAGAACCAGTCTTATATAATTGTAATGTGCATGCTCTTCTCTCTTCAAAATACGACTTAACTTAAACGAAAAATTAACAACGAGGCGAATAAAGCAGTAACTGGAAAAACAGGGAAATATCATTTAAGTTTCATTTAACACTACAAACAATGGTTTATTTCGTTTTTAATCCTTTGAACTGTATCAGTTGATTATTCTTTTCTGAATCGCTTTCTCCTATTTCATGTTTTGAAAGATAGTAACAATAAACACTAAAGCTACAATATATTCCACAGCTTCCAAAGAAACCTCGAATGATTCTGTTATAAAAAGCAAACTTGTTTAATTTTGTGATTGCAGCGTTCAACTTGCATTTTCGTGTATGTATTGTTTGCGCAGTCGGAGTTGTATTAATTTTATTTTGGTACGGTTTGCGTTACCGAATCTTGCATCGACCGTCTCGATAAAAAATCAACCAAGAGAACAACATAAAATATCAACCTTGGCTCCAAAACATGTAGTTCTGCTATCGTATCTTCAACATAAAAGAGGGATTTTCATCCGATATGCCGTTGAGTCATGGCCGAGGCGTTAACAACAAATTCAAACTTGAGGAAAAGTAATGAGTTAGAATGTTATCAGATTTTTTTATACTTACTGTGGATAATTCAGCATCTTACAAGCCACCTTTGCTGATTGCGTTCCAAAACCATCATCGCATACTGTCCCCCAAGTGCTATTCTGCCATACTTCCAGTCTACCTTCATATTGACTTGACCCGTCAACCAATCGAACTTTAAAGAACAAAATAAACATTTTAAAACAATAATACTTAATATATATTTGTTACTTTGCACCTGAGTAGTATTGCATTTACTTATTGAAATTCCTGTAGTCGATAAGTAAGGTTGCACAAAGATGACATGTCATGTATGTGTTTTTATTTATCTCGTACGCTCGAGAAACTATGTCGTGGCCACGAGTAACTATGTCGTGCGCTAGAGATAATTAAGTTATGCGCACGACTTAGTAACTCGTGGCATCGACTAAGTTTCTCTTGCGCACCGCTTAATTATCTTGTTTCCAAGACTTTGTAACTCGTGGCCACGACATAGTGTCTCATGCACACAACTTAATTATCTTGTGGCCACGACTTTGTAACTTTTGGTCACAACATAGTATCTCGTGCGCACGAGATAAATAAAAATGCACAAATGTCACTTCTGTGTCACAGTAATTATGTCATAAACTTATTTAAATTAAAAATAAAAAATAAAAACAGTTTCTCATTTAGGGGTTTGATGCATTAAAAACAAGAGATTGTCACAGAAATTGCTCTTCTCTACCCTAGCCAATATACATCTGAACACGGACATGCATTTTTGACAGGATCCAGATATGTTTTTCAGACGATATGCCAGTGGCACATACAGAAGGACCAGGTTCTTTGAATGAACGAAAAATGATAAAATCAAAATGAAGTGCATACGAGGGACGATCCAGAAATACCCCGAAATTAAACAATAAATTTAAAATTATATATTACATGTTCATATAAAACACTATATTATTGCGTAAAATATCCCCTTCACAATGAAAACAGAAATATAACAATTAAAAACATTATGCTCACAACATGCATATTAAAGCAAGCATAGTAATGCGCATGCGGTCACAACTTTATTAGCGTTGTCGTCAAAACATACTGAAATGTTTTTATCGTATTCGCCGCTGTTCGCAACAAAGATCGATGTTTTATAACCCATTTGGTTAATGATAATGTTCTTATACCATGAAGTTTCGTTTTGTCGAAAAATCCAGTATGTCATTCACCGTTAGTGTGATAACAACTCAAACCTAATGGCTATTGTTGTTGTTTGATTTTATTGCAGAGGGAGTAAAATCATAGGCATAAAAATGTTACATTTCTTGATATCATTTAAATGAATAAAATATGAGTGATAAAATCAGATGTTAAAGAAACAAATAAGATGTCAGGAAATAAATAAAATGTTTTAGTTTTCGTTTACCGTTAAGTCCTTAATTAGAAAAACAAATGAATCCATAGTCTAAGATTTAAATAATTTCAATAAGAATAAGTTTTAGGTAAATGTAATAAATACTTAAAACTAATCTTAGATACATGCAATGTATCAATAAGAATCAATGTATCATTATATTTCGGCAAAGCTGGACATGACAGCGCATTTCTGTTTCCTCCGAGCGCCACAGCGACGGAGAACGTTAACGTTATGCGCATTTTTTTTTATCCCGTCAACGATATGTATTATCTTTAAAATAAGTCTAACAGTCTTACAAACGTCTTTACTTCTTAAATCCTTTTGTTTGACTAACAAGATACTTGTGTCGGGTTTCTTTTTGTCATTTTAGATGTTTTTGAAGGATACAATTCGGACTATCGGACGCCTTAATGGCAAATTCTTTAACCCTGGTTGTTACAAGAATAAAATATTTTAAAAAGCAAACTAAAGAGGAGATAACTCTTGAAATAAAGATGCTAGACTTATGAATATTGTCATACATAGTGTGATTGTAACAAAGAACAATGGTCTCTTAAGTTTAAAGAATATACCATTTATAGTCACAAGGAAGAATAGTGAAAAAATAACAATTTTCAAATATACCATTTACAGTAAAACAGAAGAACATTAAAAAAATTCAAGTTCAAAATGAAAATAATCATCGAAACCCATGAGTTATAAATCTAATCACATATGATGCAGGTGTTGATTATGAGTGTATATTTAAAATTTGAAATAAATCAATGAAGAAATAAGAAAGTTAAAGAATGAATAAAAAATCAAAGTTTAAGGAAGAGATAATTATTGAAATATGGACGCTAGAATAACAATTGTCAAATTATTATGATGTGGGAGTGAAGTATATGCTATAAGAAAATAAAAAATTGGTTTATATCCTTTTTTGCAGACATGATTATTCACATAATATGTGTTATTTTTAAATCATATTTCATAAAAAATGTATATTTTAGGAAGATTACCCTTTGGTGTACATGCTATGCCGACATCTTCACAATGACCACAATTATTTGATCCCCAACCTCTATGCGGACAATCAAATAAGCTTAATTCAATGCCTGTACATTTAACATCGTCCAAATGTACTGGTAATGTTCCGACGCCGTAGTGTGCGGACCCATATAACAGAGGATTAGGACTAAAATAATATATCATTTAATTGTCGATTTTTATCTCCACATATATAAAATTAGTCAATCACTTGAATCACAATATGTTTGTCATAAAAAATGCATACATTTCTTTTGAGAACCAAAACGTAGATCGATTGCTTTGCTAATTAATTGAATTTTATTTTTTTAAGAAATAAATCGTTTTAATTTTGCGGGCTATCAATGCATGGTGGTCTCAACACTTGTCTAAAATTAAATAAAACTGATTTGAAAATATACACCTTTAATCCTGCCACGTCAATTCCGTGCATAATATCTTGCAGCTTTAGTTAATTACTTCAACTTTAAATTCAAACTTCGTAAAATCGTTCATTAAAATCCACAGACGATGTTTTAATTTGGCAGCTGATATGGTTAAAATATGCCGACTTGTTTAAATTCGTGATTTTAAATACGGAACCCAGCAATCTATTAATTCGTAATAACGAAATATTATTTCATATTTTTACGAAATATAATTTCATTTTTTACGCTTTGACAAAAAAAAAAATAAAAATAATTCGTTTATAAGAAGTAATAATTCATTTTTATGAAATAATAATTCGTTTTTTTTCAAAATATCAATTTGTAATTTGCAAATATTAATTCGTTTTTACGATCAAACTGGATCGTTTACAAGCCTGTACCAAATTTAACGATTATAAGCCGATTTATTATAGTTTACATGTATTTGAATGAACAGGGTATTGGAAGTAAGAAGTCATTCTTAATCCAAGATATCCTCTTTTTCCCCTTCTTCAATCACCTATTCCCAACAGCTGGCAAAAAATCATAATATTTATATGTTTGAGACAATTCATCTTTTCTGATACGTTTATTTTAAAAAGGAAACAGACTATATTATTACTTTCTTTTTATCATACATGTTAATATAACTTAAAAGGGCTGGCCTCCAGATTTTCACTTAGAAAAGATTTCCTTAAAGCGACCATAGAAACATGGTTTTGTATTAAATCGATAAAACGAAACTGAAAACAATGTCCGACCTTGGATGTGAACCCCTTGACCCCAATTGTTTTATCGCCTGTACTATCACGCCTATCGCGGCAACTCAATCAGTAAGCTATATACAGTACTGTTATACCGTCGCGTTAAGATATAAGAATTAGAAGAAAAAAATCACTATTTATACTGTGTTTACCTCACTTATATTTAGTCAGATATTTAATAAGTTTCAAAGCCTTCTTTATAAATATCACCAAAACCGTATTTACTGTCATTTGGAGGCCAGCCCCTTTAAACCCATCGATAAGGTAGCTTTTTTATCTTTGAAAATTTCTCTCAATTTCACAAAATGACACATAATTTAAACCAGGTACCATTTCCAAAATAGCTTGAAAAGGCCCTGCATATTTTCTAATTTTTAATTGTGACCTTTAACTATGACAAATGACCAACAAATCAATTGGGGCTATATACTGGAAAGGGCCTCCCTTGCCTCTTCTCTCACTGAATGTTTTGTTTTGTTTGTTTCATTTCACGCATTTTCCCAACAGTATTTCAGTCATATAGGCGGGTAGTTTCCTAACCTAATCGTTCCTGGAGAGTTACACCAGTACTAGACTACCTTCCTCCGCGCTAAACTACCAAAGCATCTCCCGGGGATCACTGAATGTGAAGACAGTAAATGTAATAGGTATCAATTAATGACAAGACAAGAAAGACGCTATTGTGTCATGTCTATTGTGATTCTTTTCAATCACAGGATTTATTTCGTAAAATCGAAATACAAGTTAAGAATTAATATTTCGTTTTTACAAAGTAATAGTTCGTTTTTACGAAATAATATTTCGTTTTTACGAATTAACATTTCGTAATTACGAAATAATATTTCGTGTTTTTTTTTCGAATTAATATTTCGTTTTTACCAAAAAATATTTCGTAAAAACGAACTTATTTTTCGTCATAAAGAATTGATATTCCATAAAGACGAATTAATTCACGGGAAAAAATTGTGGAAAATGTCACCTTTTGGGCTCCGTATGTTAGAGATGGTATATAAAGTTGTATTTGGTAATCCGAAGATTTGAATGTTGTTTTATCGCAACATGAACTTGAAGTATGATCAAACATATAATGATAGACCCTGTCTTGTACAAATATAACTTGAATTAAGTTTTGTGTTAAGCTAAAAAATTATTGCTTATAAAATGTTATAATTTATAGCTTTGGATTCGAATTTACTGTCGTTTTGTTTATTGCCTTATTCATTCTTGCTAGTTATAAATTAAATAATTGATATAAGTTTCAGGACTCTATCCTATGACTGAGCGTACAGAATTGATATGTAAATATATATTTAACTATTATTCTTGTATTCCTATGCAGCATAACCAAAAAAATGGCAGGTTATCGGCACGTGAGCCTACGCCCATCAATTATCAAAGGACAGACACGTGTTGTCTCTTATGAGGAAAGACATCTTTTAAGAGGAAAACGATCTGGCATAGAGGCATGGTATGGTTTAAAGTTGACAGTTATCAACTTAATTTAATACACATGACTTTGAGGTAATAAGGCTATTCACACATGATCGGTCATCATTTTCCGCTATAAACTGCT